TGTCCCAAGAATAATAATAATATGAATTTCAAAGACTGGCCATTTGTCTACCACCCCAACCCCATGCAGTGCTGGGATCCAGGGCCTCACATGCTACACACTAAGGCAAGCGGTCTGCCCCTCAGCCACACCCACAGCCTCCGAAAAGGCTCATCAGCTGTGGTAACACATTCTTTAAAGTAACAGAGGCGGAGGAGCCAGCAGTCATGCTACACTGAGTGAGACCTGCTGGTGAAGACAGTGTTAGTCCCACCTTGCAGGGGAGGTGGCCTGAGGTGGCAAGCTGGTGCCCTCAAAGTTTGTGTTTAGGCAGCAAATTGCTGTTTCTGTTGGTTTTCTTCTCTGTCTCTACCTCCCTCCCTCCTCCACCTTCTCTTTTCCTCCCTTTCTCCCTCTCTCCCTTTCTCCCCTCCTCTCTTTCTCTCTCTTTCTCTGTGTGTGTGAGTGCTAGTTGGTATTGTTGTCATTTTGTTTTCTTACAGACAGAATCTCATGTAGCCCAGGCTAGCTTCAAACTCCTAGGTACTCAGGGATGATCTTGGATTTCTGATCATCTTGCCTCAACTTCCCGAGTACCCCGATTACAGGGATGGGATATCACATGTAGTTAGTACCCTGACTAGAGATGGGACATCACATGTAGTTTCAGCTGTGCTGGAAACCTAGCCAAGGGCTTTGTGCACGTTAGACAAGCACCAATGGGCTGTGTCCTCACCTGTGTTTGGTGGTGTTTTGAAATTTAATTTAATTTTATTATTCTATGTGTATGGATGTTTGTCTGCATGTAAGTATTTGCACGTGTGTGCTTGGTGACTAAGGAGGTCAGAAGAGGGCGTCAGATATCCCTGTGCCTGGAGTTGCAGATGGTTTTGAGTTGCCATGTGGGTGCTGGGAATTGAATCTGTCTGGAAAAATACTGAGCCCTCTCTCTAGTTCCTTTGCATTAGAGATAGGATCTGACTATGTAGCTTAAGCTAGCCTCCCATGTAGCCTAAGCTAGCCTCCCATGTGCTAGGATTACAGATGTATAACAACACTGTGTATGACTTTAATGGGGAATAAAAAGGAAAAAAAACGTTTTTCTTAAATGAAGACTCCAAATGTCATCACACTCCCTGGTGTCTGGCATTCTAGAAGTCCCAAGTAGCCGTTCTAGTGGGTCATCTGCCCAGGGGCTTGCTGGGCAGAAGAAAAGTGCTACAGGCACCTGGTGCCTCTTGGTCTCACAGAGTAAGGGCTAGCCTGTGGGGGGAGCCATAAATATTACAGGCAGGAAAAGCAGTTTGTTTTCAAGGGCAAAGATCCTGTTAGGCCTCCCTATAAAGCAAGAGCAAGGAAGGGTAGGTGATGTTGGCTGGGAGAGCTGAAAGGGAAGGAAACATTAAGAGGGCAAGGACAGACAGGATCCATGCCCTGAGGGTGGCTGCTTGAGGCTGTCTTATTGAGCATCCTTTGAGCACCCTGGGGAGGCACCTGGATCTCTCAGACGCTCCTGGTCCAGCCCTCGAGGAAGGGATTAACAGCCACTGGACAAAAGCCCTTTTCTGACCTTCCCAAAGGAGCCTCAAGCTGGGGGTGGGGGAGCATGGGCTGTCTCCGCTGCATCAACAGCAGGGTCCGCGTCAGCCCTCCACCCTCAGGGGCCTTCTGCCTAATGGGATCGGACAGCCCCTTCCCCCTCAGTGCTTTGCTGGCTGAGAAGGAGGCCAGCATGGCAGGTCAGGTGGTAGGGGTGCTTGGGGACACTCACTGAACCCTGTCAAAGCAGGGCTGTTCGGTGCCTGGGGTCAGGAGGTGGGAGGGGACTCTGTCTCCTCACTGATCCTCCACTCACATCCCAGGAACCCCAAGAGGCCCTGAGCTGTCTACAGTGTCCCTGGAATGGAGCAGAGCAGGCTCCGGGGCAAAAGCGCCAGTCTGATGCTCAGGCGAAGATGAGAAAGGCCAGCAGGCTGAGGGTCACCTGCCCATCTTCGTCAGCTGTGCTAAGGAGTTTTCTCCCTATCCGTCCGCTCATCTGCATCCCCCAATACCATGCACATTCTTGGTTCCATGCCTTTTACAGGGAGTGCTAACCCACCCAGGCTGGAGCTGGAGCCCTGGACGGAGCCCCTCAAGTCCCAGCTCTCCTCCTCCTGTCATATGTTCCAGGACTATCTGGTATGAAGTAAAGGCCACAAAGGAAGCCATTGACCCCCACCCCCGTTCCTTTTAACAGCGTCTAACCCTTTCCTCTCCAAATAGGCCCTGATGCTTCATCCCTCTTTCCTCCCATTCTTTTGCTTTTCTCCCTTCCTCTTTCCTTCTTCCCCTAGTAGGACACCGGAAATGTCCAGAGGTGATGAAAAAAAAAGTCTTTCTGACCCAGATTCTTTTTATCTGCCCTCCCCACGCCCCCATCCCTAGCAAGTGTAGATTTCTTCTTAAGGAGAAATAGGAAAGAACTCCCAAGATGGGTGAGGCATTCTGAGGGAAGAATATCCCAGGACAGGGAAGATCAGAACACACAACCTGAGCCTCCTACCCCACAGTGTACATACACACTGAGGTGTCTGACTCCACAACACGCAGGATTCCAGAGTATTTAGGCCACCCCCGGGGCCTGACCTAAGGAACCTCCAGTCCAATTTTCCTGCTTCCCACCCACCCACCCAGGCAGCTCAGGCCCAGTTCCCAGTGGGAAGAGGAGTGCAGAAATAACAAGTGGCTTTCTAAGGCCAGCTGTTTCCCAGGGCGGGGGTAGGGAGGGTGGCTACGGTTCGGAATGTACAGGATCTCCCTTTTCCCCCCAACAGCCAGATGGTCCCTCTTCAGACACTGGAAGCCCTAGGCAGGCACTGGGGACATCTGGGGCACGCTCGCTTGTCCAGCTGAGCTTCTGACAGTGCCTATTGACCCAGCTGATACTCTGGTTCAGTACTGGGAGGCAGGAGCATCACAGAGCTGAGGTTCCAGCAGGGTTGGGGAGCTGTGGCGCCCACTGTCCTGCCTCTAACCCTGTGACTGCTAGACGTGGCTAGTCCCGGTTTGTACGAGGCACGGGGAGCTCACTGGCCTGGGTCCAGGGGTACAACCGTGCCGAGGCTACCTCCGCCTCAGCAGGACCTGCGCCTGCATTTTTACAACTTCGAATGTGGGTCTACCTGTGAGCTTGGACACAGCTTTGTTTCTGTGTCTGTGTGTTCGGTATTTCTTTTCTTTTTTCTTTCTTTTTTTTTTTTTTCGAGACAGGGTTTCTCTGTATAGCCCGGGCTGTCCTGGAACTCACTCTGTAGACCAGGCTGGCCTCGAACTCAGAAATCTGCCTGTCTCTGCTTCCCAAGTGCTGGGATTAAAGGCGTGTGCCACCACCGCCCGGCCATGTTCGGTATTTCAAGGGATAGCTTGATAGTGCGAATTACTGTGGGAGGAAAGTGGTGTCTCACTCCTCCTGTCTCAGCCTCATAGTTGGGGCCACTGTCCTCCTAGGGAGAGCTGGGACAGCAACTTGGTCTCTGGGGCTGGATTCCTTCCTTCTAGACTTTATATCCTTATAACTCTAGTAGGGGAGAAAAATAAAAAGCAGGGAGGTGGGGGAGGGGCAGGCTGGGCCCAGAGACACCTGGGTCCTGTGGTCTATCCCATAGGCTCATCTGTTCCTTCCGGGGCAGGTCCATGGGAAAATAGGAGGTTGAGGCCGGGTGCTGACCTTGGCTCAGTCTGGTGGCGGGAGAGCAGAGGTGGGAAAGCAAGGGGGTGGAGCTCCGGGATAGAGATTTCTGAAAGCCTGGAAGATAAGAAGCGGTAGCGATTCTCCGCCTCTCAGATGGAAAATATTTGAAAAGCAGATCTGAAGTTTCCTTCAGGCCTGCGCCACTAGGAAAGCTCTCCGGAGCCCACTCCCCACTTGCTCCAGCTCCTAGACTGCCTGCCTGCCTCCCTGCTTCACAGGTGGCTTTACAAGAGCTGCCTGGAGGGCATCAATTCAATGCTTAGGAGAGCCTCAGATGCCCATGCTCCTCCTGCATTGGGTGTCCCATGCAGGCCCATTGCTCAGATACCCTGTGTAAGAATTCCAGACCTCTGTTCCCAGCTGGCTGGCCGGTGTAGCTATCGCCTAAACAGTCTGGAGATACAACGCTACTCTCCCTTCCTGTCTAGCGAGAGTCACCCATTCTGTCATCCTGTCTCTGCCCGGCTAGCCCTCTCCAGTCACTCCCTCCTTCCTCTAATTTTTCTTACTGAACTTTTTCAACTGCTTCATTTCCAGAGAAAAATTTCAAGTATGTGTTTCTCCCTACATTTGGAAATAACATTTTATTGTACTTGTGCTTACACCCGGCCTACACACACACTGCCTTGTGAGAGTCCTCCTGGGCACATTCATCAATAGCCCAACTGTACAGTTCAAGCATCGGGCCAAGGAACAGAACTAGCAGGGACTTCAGCGGTTCCTTCTGCCCCACAGGACTCTGCTCGACACTGCCCCCCAATGGCTAGGCCAAAGACTTCAAGAGGATTCATTTTTTTCTGTCTTGGTACTTCCGGTATCAGACCCACAGTAATAGGCCTGAGAATAATTAAGGCAAGAGACTGATGGAAATTACCCTGACCTGGGCATCTTTGGGGGACTAGATATGAGAAGAAAACCCTAGAAGATTCCCTTTTTCTAAAACCTAGCTTGCTGCTCACTGTTGGCCCAGAGTGAGGAGGCACCTGGGAGAGTGCAGGGTGGGATGGTCTAGAGGACTGTTCTACAGTGTTCTGCCACTGTTCTGAGGTGTGCAGAAAAAAGGCCTGGCTGGGCCCCCAGGCCTGTCCATCCTGGCCCCTGCTCCCAATAACACATACTAGGTGTTTGGCAGGAATGGTGGCAGTCAGCCCGACTCCTGGATCCCCAGAGACAAAGGCAAGAGGTATACAGTCACTTCCCTCTGGGACCACACTAGTCAGGATCCCCAACTTTTCCTGGTTTTGAGCAAAGTAATGCCACCTATTTTTCCAAGGCAAGAAGTGATGCATAAGTATTGAAAATAATTTAATAGGGAAACAATGGACTCATTCTTTACAGCCATCCAGCCATCCAGCCTCTGGCAAGGAGGATGTCCCGCTTTGACTTAAGGAGGCAGTTAAGGGCGGAATGATTGGAAACCACCAATACTCTCCAACTTTAGAAATAACCCTTCACACACACACACACACACACACAGAGAGAGAGAGAGAGAGAGAGAGAGAGAGAGAGAGAGAGAGGAGAAGGAAGGAAGCAGCTCTCAGTACTTGTCATTTGGGGTTATCTGTGGCAGACAGTTCCTCTGCCCCTTATTCAAAATCAGCCTTCAATAAGAATTTGAGTAAAAATCTGAAACAAGATGATGATTCGGGAAGTGGTTAAAAAAAAAAAAACAAAAAAACAAAAAAAACAAACCTCCAGTAACTCCAGATGTAAATTCTTCTCCAGCTCACAAAAGGTGGACACTGCGGATGTATCCAGAGTTTAACAGGACAGAAAGGAAGACCCAGCCACCACCCAGCTCTAGCTCAGGGCCCACCATGTGACTAGTGTGGCATATCCCCTCAAACAGAGCTGTAAGTGGGGGTATGAGAACCCCTCCTTCATGCCAAGACAGGGACAGGTCTGGGATTCTCACATGTACAGACTTTTACAAAGGACATGACTTTCATGCATGAAGGATTGTCTTAAAGAACTGAAAAGGATGACAGCTGGGAGCTCCTGGGAAGACTGGAGGGGGCTGAGGGCTGAGTGCATACTGTCCGGTAGGTAAGTCCCTGAGGGTATCGGAGTATCCCATTCCAGTGCAAGAAGAAGAAAGTAGGGTTGGAATAAAGGCTCCCAGGGAGGGTTGGCCCAGGTACAGCAGCTCCCTGGTTGCAGGGAAGGAACTGAAGTGTCCTGAAGAGGTATGATATCCTCTTCGCAGAACAAAACACAACAGGGTGATGATGTCCTGAAGCCAACAGGCTTAGGCCAGCAGTCACCTAATGACAAAGTCATATTAAAGTAATTCTCCCAGTGTTTAGTACACCTGCCACCGGATGCCCCAAGGGTGGAGAACACTCAGAGGAATGCTGGGAACTAGGATGTAAGAGGTGCTCATCCAGGGAGGTCCCAGGTTCACAGGGGTCAACCCTGGGCTGGTATGCAGCTTCCCTGTAGGTTTGTGCTCCATCCACTGGTCCTTCCGGTGTCACTGCAGTGTGCAAGCTAACAGGTGAAAGAAAGTGGTCAGGCTCAGGTCTCTGGCAAGAGAGTCAGAACCTATAACCCTGCTATGGGCTGTCAGACCCCAGGGCAGCACTCACAACTACGAACAGACTCCGACAGCCCCTCTTTGTCCAGACTCTCTGCTTCCCAGTGAGATTCCTTTATCTGTGAGATGTAAAAGCAGAGCAAGGGGTAAGACAGCCAGCTAGACTCGGAAGCCACCGCGCATACACAACCACAGTGAGGAGGAACCCACAACCCAGGCCTGGGGTGGCCCGTCCGTGTCCACCTTGATCTGCTCCCACCACCCACTACCCGGGGTGGCCCGGGGTGGCCCAGGGTGGCCCGTCCATGCCCACCTTGATCTGCTCCCACCACCCATTACCCGGGGTGGCCCGGGGTGGCCTGTCCATGCCCACCTTGATCTGCTCCTTCAGGTACTCAGCTCGAGCCATGAGGTTCTGAACCTGCCAAGAGAAGTCATGTGCAGACGTGAGGAGGGTTCAAGCAAGTGTCTCCTGAGCCCTGATGCTCCCCAGAGCCCTCTGTCTCAATAGGATGGCCTTGTCTCTGATAACTCTACTTGTTCCCTCCTCCAGGAAGACTTCCCTGTTGCTGAAGCCCAGGAGACTTTTGCTTTATCCAGGCACAGAAGTCCTGGGTCACTGACATCACAATTATGAAGCAGGGAAACTCCATATGCAATCTAAGGAGGCCCCACAGACCTGAGGAGGAGGAGAGGAGGAAGAGGAGGAAGAAGAAGAAGAGGAAGAAGACAAGGAAGAGGAGGAAGAAGAGGAGGAGGAGGAGGAGCACTTCCTGACTTCCAGCCCTACAAAGTACCTCAGTGTGAAGGAGCTCCCGCCTTCGGCCTGGGGCTTCTGCTGTAAGGAGAGGAGAAATGGTGAGCACAGGGTAGCCAGAGGCAGGGGCAGTAGCGGAGCTGGGACCTTACCTGCCAACAGCAGCAGCAGCTCCCCGAGGCTGTGCTGGTACAGGTCCAGGGCATCCCTCTCTTTGCCAGTTTCTTCCTCCTACAGCCAGAGGGGCAACACATCCTTCCATGCTGTGCCCTGGTTTCCTTCCTGTGCCACCCGGACTCCTCCCAATGAGCACAAACCTTGGCCATGGCAGCTGAGGCCACTTCCAGGGCAGCGAGGAGGCGTGGCTTGTCCCGGGCCATCTCTGATGTGAGAGAAAAGGCTCATGGTGAGGGAACAGCCTGTTGTTTTTGCATAGGAAGGCCCTGTCAGTCTCCCTGTCAAGACAGAGTGGGGTTGCCAGGACTTGTGCACAGACCGGGAACTGCAGCCTACCTACCTCGAAGCAGCTCTTGGACAGTTGTGCCCTGTCTTAGCAGGGCCTGATTGGAGGAGGACACAATGGCTTTGAGCTCCTCGGCCCGGGACACATACTGCCCCACCTGTAAGAGAATGAGGGGCTGAGGGATATCCCCCCCTTATCCTGCACCCACCTCCAAGTATGTCTCTGGTCCTTAGTGACTGCTTCACACTAACCAGACATCAAACAAGCTAGCCTGGCCCAACCCACGTCCCCCAGCTCTATCTTGTGAGAGAGGTTTCAAATCTAAGAACGCCATTTGTCAGAGGCTTGTGATCTCTGGTCTCTCCTTTCATGCCCACCCATTTTCTCCTGGGGAGATCACTCACCTTGGCCTTAATCGCCTCCTTCCTCTTGGCATCCACTTCGTCTGCAGAACGTGAAGGGTTTCATATGAAGATGTTGTACTAAAAGCCTACCCCACAGTAAGCCCTTCGAGATCCCCAGATACTAAGTTCCAGGTTGATCTTCCGCACTGAGGAACTTGACCCGACTCCTGCCCCCTCTGCACCCAGGTTCTAGAAATGATCTGGGCCTCACAGTGTAGCGCAGGTACAAAGAAGTCCAGCGCCTTGCAGTAGAGCGACAGGGCGGCAGCAGCATCTCCCTCCTGGTCCTTCTTCACAGCCTCCACCACAAGGGCCGTCTGGGGGATTGGAGGATCGGCAATCAGACCTCCCTTCCTAATGCCACAGCGATTAGTGATTAGCGTAAGTCAGCAACCCCACCCCCTTGCCCTGTGGCAACCTGCTCTGCTTCTGTGAGCCAGTCACCTATTAACCACCAAGGGCGGGCAAACGAGACCCAGCCCACCCTATCTCCATCAGTCTGCGTACTGCTTGCGCCAGGCTCTCCCCACTGGGCATGTGTTCCAGGTCCACCCAGGGATGGGCAAAGAAATCCTGGAAGGAGATTCGACGGCTGGGGTCTCTCTCTAGAAGTCGCTGCAACAGGTCCCGGCAGTCTAGGGAGAGTTGGGGCCGAAGAGGAAGCTACAGAGGCATAGAGCAGGGACACATCACATAAAGATCCGACATCTGAGCCCAAAGCCCAGGGCCTGTTAGGAACCCCCATAAGGGGTACATGTTTGCCAGTGGGTAATCTGAGACCTGAGTGGAACATGGCAGGTCCAGGTGATGTGCAGAAAGAGAACCAAGCATCCTTTCTCACTCTCCTATCAAATGGGCACTTGCCCCTAGCCCTGGACTATGGGAAGATTGGGCCTGGTTATTCGTTGCCAGTCGTGGCTGATCCTCTGGAACACACTAGATTCTAGGCTTCCACCGCAGAGCACGGCCCCACTGCCACGAAAGGCCTACAGCCTACACTGCAGTCTGGGGCAGTGGTGAACAAACTTCTGGGCCTTGAATCCCTCAGTCCCCAGTGGATGCCAAGACCCTGCCAGACGCACCTCGATAAGCCGATTGCTGCGAATCTTTTCTTCTAGCTCTGAGAACGATCTGGAGGCAAAGGGGGGCTGCCCAAAGAGGGCTTCTGTGGAAGAAGGCAGAGGGGGGAGGCTGGAAGGGAACAGGGTTAAGTCTTGCCTAGCTCACCCATGGAAACAGGATCAAAACCCCTCAGAGTAGAGCCCTTAATTCTCATGAGAACCCAGGAGAGGCCCAGAGAAGCCTGGCCCAAATACAGAGTAACTCTCAGGGCAGATAACAAGGGAACAAAAGTCTCACCGTACAGAATGACCCCCACAGACCAGAGGTCCACACGCGCGTCGTACTGCCGCCGACACACCATCTCAGGAGCCATATAGAGCGGGGAGCCGCGAAGGACATGTTTCTCATCCCATGGGGACATGTGCTGGGCAAAGCCAAAGTCTGCAGGCAAGAGGCCAGATGCAGGGTTCAAATCCCAGCTGCTTCTGTGACTCCAATCAGAGCCCTCCCCACCCTAGCTTCACCTGGATTACTCCTGCCTCGTCCCGGTGCAACACTCCTGTATCCTCCTCTGGGCTGGAAACCCTAGGCATGGCGCCCAGCATCTTAAGCAGTTTTACCTAAGCCTACCTCAGTGCAATTCCCTCAGAAAGCCCCACCACCCCAGCCCCAGCACTAAGATATGTCATGTTCTCTGGCTTCCAAGGTCAAATCTACTCTTCTTCCAGTCTTATCAGAAGCCACAAACACCTGTCCACTGTTAAGTATTCTTCTCAACTGTCCAGATTGAGCCCGAACCCTAATAACAGATTAAGTTAGGTCCTGGCTCACAGACTGATCCTGGATGCTGGTCACACATTGGCACTAGTTCCAGACTGAACCCCAACTCTGACCCAGACTTGATCCCTAGCTCTACCTACAACACTGCGGGACATAAAGTGCTACCTTTCGGTGATGGGTTCATCCCTATACCTCCTGATCTGTCACTAGTGATTTAACAGAGGAAGTCCTGGGAACAGGTCGCTGAGCACTCAGCGAGAGAGTGAGAGAGTGCAGCCAGAAGCTTACTGTTTACCCACTCTAAACCACCACCCTGCTGTTCCAGACCTGCCAGCTTCAGGTGGGGCCTCTCCAAAGAGCTCAGTAGGATGTTCTGTGGCTTCAGATCCAAGTGAGAGATGTTTCGTTCGTGCAGGAACTGCAGGGCACTAGCTGAGGAGTCAGCAACAGGAAAATAAGTCAGGCCGGGGCGGTGGTGGCGCACGCCTTTAATTCCAGCACTTGGGAGGCAGAGGCAGGCGGATTTCTGACTTCAAGGCCAGCCTGGTCTACAGAGTGAGTTCCAGGACAGCCAGGGCTATACAGAGAAACCCTGTCTCGAAAAAAACAACAACAACAAAAAAAAACAAAACAAAAAAAGAAGTCAGAACCTCTTTCCCACCTGCCTCTCCCCTCCTCGGGCCTCCATCTATCCACTTATATCTGTATTGCTACAGTGCTGTTCTGATTTACAGAATATTCAGAAGCTCCAGACTCTGGCCACTTCTAAGCGTCCCCGAGTGCCTGCTCCTTGTACCCTTCATAAGATCACCCTACCTTCAAGGAGCCTCCAGAAAAGCCTTTAGGACTTTGTATTCTCCCTCACTAAAACACTTGGGTTCTGGGCCCTGGAAGATTCCACAAGGTTCTTACATCACGTTCCCCATGTGAAAGCCTGAATTCCCTACAGATGCTAGGGACGCAAACATGGCAGACTGCAAAGCACTGGAACAGGTTTAAAGAGGACATGGGGTGTGTCACTGGGTTTTTACCCAACTGCTGCATGAAAACACGGGCCACTTTTTCCGGCAGGATCCTGCGGGTATGGATGAATCGAGACAGGTCACCCCCTGCACAGAACTCCATGATGAGGTAGATATTGTCATTGTCCCACTGTGGTTGGAAGTAGAGAGACAGCTTTAGGCAGTGTCCCTTCTCCAACCTCCTTTGGAGGGAACCCCGTCCCAGGATCAGACCTGGAAATCTTTCAGCTGTACGATATGGGGGTGCCGGATGCCCTTGAGGATCTCGATCTCAGTCAGGAGGTTTTCCACCGATGCCTTGTTGAGACTTTTCTTGGCCACACATTTTATGGCTACCACTTCCCGAGTATCCTTCTGTGGTACAGGAAATTTGGGGTCTCTGTCTTGAAGGGGGCGACCCCATGGGCTGCAGTGTCTCTGATTCCCTCTGCAGCCTTTCCCCTGTTTGGGTCTGTCCACTCTCCACGGGCCTTCAAGTTTCCCAGCCTCCACTTCTCAAATCAATGTGGCATCCGGATTCTGGAATCCCACCCCAGCAAGTGTTCTCCAACGCCAAGCTTCTAACCCACGGCATCACTTTCTAGAGTGGCGGGAGGGGTGGGGGGTGGGGGGTAAGGGGCGGGCGGCGGGCGATGTCACTATTTAAAGAGCTAGCCACTCTGCATTCTAACTGGTGCTGCCCACTGGGAGTCTGACCCCAGACTCCTCCCAGCCCCTAAGGCAACTTCCGTGCAGAGCCGGTTCTTCAACCACTGACACCGAGGTTCCCATAGGTCATCGCCCGCCCCTCCAGATCAAACTGGCGTGGTTGTTTTTAAAACCTAAAACCTAAAAGGGGCGGTTAGCTCCAGCCTCCTCCACCCGTTTGGGCAGCCGCTGGCCTTACTGCTCTCAAGGCGGTCGCCTTTTCTGCTTAGCTTGGCCCTGTCACCCAGCCGGGCTTGCAGGGAGTTGGCTGGCATAGGATCCGGGTGCCCGGCGCCGGGACACCTCGGGCACGACCCGCCCACACCCACCTTGGCGTAGGCCTTGTACACCGTGGCGTACGTGCCACTGCCCAGGCGCTCGGTGAGGATGAAACCGTCCAGCCGAGGGAGACCCCAGCCGGGCCCAGCCATCCCGCGCCCGCCGCCAGGTGCTTCCTGGTTCGGGGGTGCAGATTCCGGCCAGCAGCGAAGCTGGGGGCGCTCGAGGGGCGGCGAGGCGGGACTCCGCACAGCCCCAGCGCTGCCCGCCGGAAGCGCGGCTCGACAACTCCCCTCCGAGGCTCCTCCCCGCCCGCCGCGGGCTGGGTGACACCCTCTGCCAAGGAACTGCCAGGCAGGTTTCAGACACCGAGGCTTCAGTGGGTGTAAGTGTGTCGGGGACTACGGACGCTATCACGTGGGAACGGCATCCTAGAGACCACCCACGTAGGGGGCGGGAGGAAGAGCTCGGCTCTGCCCTTCAAGACAGGGTGAAGAGGGAGAACAGACTCCAGCAAGTTCTTCTCCGATCACTACACGTGCTCTGGCCCTTATTCATTCGTTTATTTGGTTTTGGAAGACAGGGTTTCTCTGAGTAACCCTGGCTGTCCTGGAACTTTCTTTGTAGACCAGTCTGGCCTCGGAACTCGAGATCCGACTGCCTCTGCCTCCCGAGTGCTGCGACTAACGGTGTAAGTCACCAGTGCCTGGCTAAAAACAATTTAAATGCCTTTGGAAGAGGCCAAGTTGCCATTGTCAGGGTCCTCCCTTCTGCCTTTCACTCTTGGAAAGGGTTCTTCCCTAGAGTTGAGTGGCCTGACGTCTATCACAGTTCAGCCACCAACGATCTTAATTGTCATCTCACCTATCTTAGTAGGAGGCCCTTATCCTATACTTCAGCAGGCTATAGCCCTCCCAAGTCCACCAGAGACATCAGGACCAGTGCTGTCCAAAAATCTTTTTATTTAAGCACAAAAATTGAGACATGACATATACATTTGTACACGGAGGAAAATAATACCAGAAAGTATACAAAACCCCGTTGGTGGCTGTCATTACCATTCGGTGGCTCTAGGGCTAAATGGACTGACAGCATGAGGGTAGCCTCAGGAGGGCCCCAGTTCTCAGAAGCAGGAGGCTGGCCAGCTTGGCGAGCTCTTGCGGCACTGACACAACACAGGGTCCAGGTTTCCACAGCGGCTTCCTAGGTGCCAATGCAGCGACACACCTGTGGAGCCCCCAGGACAAGTGGAAAGGGACCTAGAGTCCACTGAGGGTGCGGGAAGAACCCTCAGAAAGAAGGCTCAGCGGTCCTGCCTGCAGGACATAGTCCGGACTGATTTCCTCCAGACCACCCTAAGAGTTGTAAGAGGTGATTATTGCTGAAGATGGGTCAGGCTAAGGCAGAGGGGCAGAGTCCCTTGGGAGGAGAGAATCCACAACAAACAGGTCAGCAGACACCTACCCTCTCAGAAGACTGCCAGAGGCTGGGCAGGACTTGACTGAGGACTTGACTTGTCTTCGGTCCCTCCCCATCCCCAAGTCCCAACCAACCCCACTCACTATACATTCAGAAGTCTGAAGAGAGAGGCTAGGGAGGTCCCCAGAGGGCACAAGGTGCTATGACACCAATGTGTCGAAGCAGACACAAGGTCATCACTCTTGTGAAGAACACCTGGAGATCACCCGAAGATAATCTGGGAAACTTCTGTCTACCCACCCAGAACACAGCTCATCTAGAGTAAAGCCCTTGGGAGGCTTATGAAGCCCAAGCAGGAAAGGCAAGACACTGGAGTCTCCAGTACAGATGAAGCCGGTAGCAGGAGGAGTGGAGTCCAGGGTGCCTGTGGAAAATCCCTGGTACAGTGAGCCCAGGTTAGCCCATGATCCCAAGCACACGAGTCCATCTGTTTTCAGGCAGAGCAGTCCCTTTGCTTCTGGACAAAACCCTACCAAACCACCATTAGAAAAGGAAAGACAGCTTTGTTATTTTTTTCTTTTCCCATGTGTTAAAAAAAAAAAAGTCCTTGTCCCTTCCTCTCCTTCCCTCTTGTAGAAGAGAAAGCTGAGTACTGAGGAAGGAGGAGGGACAAGAGAAATCCCTGCCGGGTCTGTGCTGGGCGTAGCCACTGCATAAGGCACCCACAGAAAGTGCAGCTCAGAAGGCAGGTGACAGAAGAGGCCAGGGCTGAGGGAAGAAGAGTCAGGAAGACTAATTCCCCTGGAAGGTTCCTTGGGCAGCAGATGAGGCAGCACTGCGGAAGGTTCTGCTGCTGAAGATGCCCTGGGAGAACTCTTCCTGCGCCTGCTGGAAGCTGGCTCCTGTTCGGCGGTAGAAGGAGTGTACCTAGGAAAGGAGGCTGGGGTGAGAAGAGCCCAGAGCAAGCCTAGCCATCAGGGTATGGTGGCACCCGAGAGGCCAACCCTGCCTGGCTGCTCACCTGGAGCCTTGGATGGGGTATTGGGCACCTAAGTGCTTCAGGAGTAAGGAATATTTAGATGTGTGCCCAGGAGAGATGGGCATTTTACTTGTGTTCACTGTTGGCTCTGCCCTACTTACCCGCTGCAGGAGGAAGAGAGAGAGCCCGGCACAGAGGGTAAAGAAGCCAGCCACGACCATCATGATGATGGTCACAGCTAAGGGCTTCGTATTCACTGTAGACAGGGCTGCGAGCCAACCACTACAAAAGGAGAAACCAGAGGTGAGGTAAGGCTGAGACTCAGAAGTCCCCAAGAGTAGCACTTCTCCCAAATGGCTGTGTCCTGAGCACCACCTGGACATGTCCCTGCAGCACAGGGAGCCTTATGGTTCAATGACCCTCCTCTGTCAGACACCAGGCTGTGAGTGCTGACAGGCCCACACTGGTCCAACATGAGCTCTCTTGAGGTCTCAAAGGTGGGGTCACCTGAAAATCTTCTGATCCAGTGAGGTCCAGAAAGGAGATGTGGCAACTCCCTTGCCAGGAGCAGCCCAAGACTCAGTGTTTGTTGCTGACTGAGGGTGGGGACAGGGAAGACTTGGATCTCATAGAGGACTCTGGGGAGAGGAGCACTAGCCAGCCTGTTGCCTCTGCCTTTGTGTTTCTGTCATCCCCAGAGCCTGTCAGGGGCAGCCCTGCTTATACACTGAAGACCTAAAATCAGCCATAGGCCTAAAAACAGCAATAGGCCTGACATACATGCCTGCTAACACAAAGTCTTGGGTCTCTGTGGAAAAACACTGAAACAGATGCCTAGAAGCTATTGTAAACAAACAGCTTTGGTGGAAAATTGCCAGGCTAAATAGTTATAGACCTTGTAGATAGGTAACCTTGGTGTATAGTACCAACTTAGATAAGGACAAGTGAATCATAGTCAAGAGTCATAGTGATCTATCCCCTGAACCTTCATCCAGCTGATACTGTTCTGGAAGATATCTGTACTCCCCCTGAACACCTACGCTCCTGCGTCATCCCCTTCCCCACATCCTGCCTTTTTTGTGTATATAACCACTGTGTGAAAAAGTAAAACTTGCTATTTGATCAGACTATAGACAGATCGCCATTTTTGCATTCGCCTGTTTTCCCCCATCTTCTCTTTCAGGTGACCTTCCCAGACCCCTGTTTAATGCCCTGCTAGACATTTTCCTTGGCTGTAAAGGGACTATTCTCATGGTACCTGACTTCAAAACTTACAACAAAGCTACAGTGATCAAAGCAGTGTGGGAATAGCAGGAAGAACAATGCCATAGGCTTCAGAGTCCAGATGTACATATTTTAAAAATTATTTTCTGGAGATTAGAGAGATGGCTCAGTGGCTAAGAGCACTGACTGCTCTTCCAGAGGTCCTGAGTTCAATTCCCAGCCACCACACAGTGGCTCACAACCCTCTGTAATGGGATCTGGTGCCCTCTTCTGGTGTGTCTGAAGACGGCTACAGTGTACTCGTATCAATAAATAAATAATTCTAAAAAGAAAAAGATTTTTCAATTTTTGTCTGTGCATTGTTGTGTCTGTGTGAGAGTGTCAGATTCCCTGGAACTGGAGCTACAGACAGTTGTGAGGTGATATGTGGGTAGTGGGAATTGAACCTGGGTCCTCTGGTATAGCAGCCAGTGCTCTTAACCACCAAGTCATTTCTCCAGGAGCCCCCAATCTATTTTTTAGGGTCCTGAAACCGAGGGGACAGTGAGATGGTTCAGTGGGTACTTGATGCCAAGCTTGAGAGTAGAGTCAGATACTCAGGACCCACATGGTGGAGGAGAAGAACTTATCCTTGGGCCTTCACATCCATGTCCTGGTATGCATGTCATGTCCCCACAACCCCCAGATAAATAAAAGGAATAAAAAAAAACGTTAACACCCTAAAGGGTAACTGATGGTCTCTTTACAAATGGTACCAGGACAACTGATCCTTACTTCAATCATACATGAAGATGAACTCAAAGTAGGGCAAAGATTAATTGCAAGAGCTATAAAACTCTTTGAAAGGCTAGGCATGCTGGCACGGAGCTTTAGTCCCAGTACTCGGGAGGCAGAGGCAGGAGAATGTAAGTCAACAACAGCCAGGTCTACATAGTAACCAGAACAGCAAGGACCATAGAGAGATTCAGTCTCAAAACAACAAACTCGTAGAAGAAAAACAGGAAATAATTTTCATGACTGAAGTGTGACACCAAAAGTACAAGCAGCAAAGACCACTGCAGCGGTGGGAAAACCTGAATTCGACCCACAGAACCCACACGGTGGGAGCAGAGTGCTGGGTCTCACATGGGGGGGTCCCTGCTCGCAGGTACACGCACACTAAATAAAGGTAAAAATTTTAAAACCTTTTGTGTCTTAAAGTGGCTTATACCTGCAATTTTAGCAACTGGAGGTTGAAACCTCAAATCTCAACCTCTGGTTCCACACAGAGGTGTACAGGTGACCCTACATGAACATGCATGCACACATGGGCATACACATACACACAGAGTGAAAAGAAAATGGACACAGAAGGACTATGGGAAGGCAAGAACAGGCAGGAACCAGCAGAGCTCACTCAATCCAAGGCAGTGAAGGCAGGGTCAGGACCAAATCTCAAATCTTAGATTCTTAGTCCAGAGGTGAAATATTAATTGTAGCATGCCCCACCCCACGCCACGTATTTGTTTGCTGTAAGCCACTGTCTTACTATGTAACCCT